AAAACTACCTCGATGGGCTCTTTGGCTGAAGCAGTACGACTTCACGATCATGTTACAGGTGCCGAAAACTGTATGGCAGATATTTTGTCTCGCCAGGAGGAAGCAGATTCCTTTATTGTCATTATGCTGACAGCGGGACAAGACTCGCACGAATCGGTGAAGGAACAGCACAAGGCCCAAGAACTCCGCGAGGCGATCGAAGAAATCTCATAAGGCCAGCAATACCGAAACGCGCAACACAGTACACACGTGAAGTGATGGAAATCCGTATGGAAACAGCCTTATTTGAATGCCGCTGGTATCTTAATGAAACGACAGCCAGGAAGGTGCCCCGTGGTCGTCATTCTGAAACAGTTGCACCAAATCTTTATGAAAGAAAATCATGAACTGGCACACACTGGATGCGCTCGAACTTACGACCTGTTTCGACAGCGGGCATATTGGCCAAATATACAGGCTGAATTGACAAATCAGGTGTTGACGTGTGAAAAAAGCCAACTTTTCAAGTCAGACTCCCGCCCATCACAACATTCATCACCCGTCGCGTGGCCAGGAACTGCGATGTTATGTTCCTGAGTAGATTTTTGTGTTATGTATGTCAAATTGGTGATGTCCCATCTGAAATCCTCAATAAACAATTATCCTCGACCAGCACCGTCTTCTGGAATTATAACACTATGAGCAGAAAAGGTCAGAAGCTGATTGGAATTATGTTCGAGCGTTGTATTCCAGTCGTAAATGGTAATATAGATAGGCGTTTCAACCAACCAGTGCTTTTATCGTTTCCCTGGTGGTTGGGTTAATAGCACTTCGCAACTCCATTTCGCCTGTATGCCGAGCTTGGCAATTTGTTTGCAAACGTTTCATCAGCCGAGGTGACATCATCAGTGCACTTCGCAACCACAGAGATATACTTTCTAATCGGGATCAGTTTCAAAGAGTCAGAATTAAAATACGTTTGATTTCTCGGTAAGCCAATAGGAGGTACCGTAATCGTCTGGAATTTGATCACACTGGGTGGTTTGGATATCGATAACTTGGAAGAAAACTGTGGAACGGGAATAACATTTAGCTCACCACATGTAGGAGTAGATACAGTCATTGTTGTCATTTTTTAATGGTGTTAGTGCATTATGTTGTCACACTTCAATTTATAGATTGGATGAAAAATACAGCATTACAGCATTTTTGGCAATATTCGTACAGGGTAAAAAAGGTTCACAGAACGCATAAACCTCAAACAAGTAACAACAGGAATGGAATTGCGGATAAAAATGTACGCGTGAACTAGTCGATAGGTAAATAAAGGAGAACGCTGAGTCACATTATTCAATCTGGTAGATCAGAATGCTTGCGACCAAAAGCAAACAATCGACCGATCGATCGAGGGATCAGATCGATCGTGAGCATTCGACAGATCCATTTTTTGTTGAAACCGTCCACAACCGTATTTCACTGTCAACCGAATAGACGTAAAATCGTATGGTTGGACAATTACATTGACTGGTCTATGGTCGTCCAAAATGATTTAAATGTGAACGCTCTATTTCCACTTGTTCAGCACTGTCTTTTAACTTCTGGTTTCATCTCACACCCAACGGACAAGAAAGGCTCCATTGAGAACAACAAGGTGGCTGCGAAACAGGCAGGTCGTTCAGCATCAAATGATGTCAGTGCCTGAGTTTGACAACCTGTGTGCGCGGGGGCGGAACCGAATGCAGTCTACAAAATCGGACCAGTACGGTGCGCTTCTTTTCATCTCGCGAAACCGAACACAACGGACACATGGAAATTTGACTCATTACTACGGACAGGCCAGCTGAAGTTGAAGCCGACAGGTGTATGGTAAGGAGCGAGAGAGAAATGGATTGTGCTTACCATGGATGCAGAACTTGATCGTCGGGCGGCTAAAAGGGATTGATGTGTTCGCTCCGAAGGTTAAGCAGTGGGTGGTGGTGGTANNNNGGTGGTAGCGGTGTAGTAGTTTAGTCGGTATCCCCGGTCCGAGGTTCGAACCCCGCCATCGCCACCCAACTTTTGTGGTAGACAGCTTTGCTGTCGTCCGGTTGAATCCCAAGCCCAACCTGGTGAGGAGCATTTTGTGGTCCGCCACTCCAAGTTCCAGGGCCTGAGTTACCGGTTCCCATCACTCAATATCAGGTTTTCACGACTACGGGATCCACCTCATCTGCTTTTCATCACACAAACGTGCGTAAGAAAAGCAATTACAAAATATCGGGACATATTTAGGCCGCAATAATGATGCACCCCGTGACGTTCAGATTGTCAACTTTCCTTATACTTTCCAGTATATAGAACACACGCATATATGCGCACATTCAGTGCATTCGTCAGTGTCCTTTTCTCAGCCAGCACCATTAAATGAAAGAAGATAAAAACAGATATATTGTGCGTACCATTTCATCCGAAATAAACCACGGGAGACGCACACACTAAGTAAGTTTCCTAAAAAGTGTTCCACTGTTGATGACGAACAACTGAACCGCATAGCGATCATTGAGTCTCAGGAGTGTGCGGTTTAAAGAAGACAACCTGATTTGACAAGTGACGGGCACATGAACTAATGAGTTATCATAGTGTCTGATTGCTGACGACCTCAATGATGATGCGTCTAAATAAGATAGATTGTGGGATAAAACACATACAAAGGAAGACGGCCACAAATAATAAACCCTTCAAAATTATAGGGAACAAAGCGGTACAGAAAAATCGGAATCACGAGGCTGTTTCTCAAACTCTGATATGCTGGGCATGCAAAAAATAGTTTACCCCTACGATTTGTCCTGTAAACCAGCTGCTTGTAATGGTAATCGACAAATGCACGGGAAATAAGTTCGTATGACCCATATTACATGTGAGATTCAATTGGGTTGAATTTTTAACGAGCTGCAATTTGATTTGTTATGTTATTCTAATTATGGGACAATCAGAAGCCCGGATGAGATACAAGCACACATAATTGTGGAAGTAACCTACTATTTTGTACAGTGCGCTTTAGGACCACACACAGCGATACTGATTTACTTAGACCCCATATTCAGAGGCATATGTGGACGACCAGCGAGCATGCGGACTATCACAGTAAATCGTGTGACCAATGACAGCAGATGGCATTCAGATTTTGACTTCGATTTGTCCCCTGTTTAACTCCCTATTCAAACACAGACAATGTGGTTTCTCACCCAATATATTTATAGAGACCAATCTGAAATCAAAATTAATAAAAGTTTGTCTACACTCGGCAGCAGAGGGATGCGATGGGGGTATATCTCATCAAACCGAAGCAGTTTACTCCGAATTGTCATTTGATCCCAACAGCTAAATAACTTTTCACCCCGAAAGAAGTACACATGAATAAAAAAGAAAACTGCCAGATCACCAGAATAGCATACCGAACGAGCCAAATTGTGGGTACTGGCTCCATTTGATTTGGTTGCACTCTCCACTCGCGGCTGCACGAAAAATGTATCCACCATATGAGTCACGTGGTCAGTCGAGACAGCTGGAGAATCGTAGGACGGAGTCAACGTCGGCCCCGGAAATGGAACTGTGGGACCCGGCTCACCACGAAATCCTTCAGGTAGCTGACCGAATGTGGCACGGGAGGTGAGCACACGACTGAAGCGAGAAAGAAACGGGATCTGATTGAAATCCGATTAATCCTACGTCTCAGAGTTTGGAC